GTTTTCCGATGGTCTTAGGCAACCCCTGTGAAAGGGTCATTCGACCCCCAAAGGGGTTGCGACCCACAGGTTGAGACCCGCTGCGCTAGGCTTTCTGCAGGCCACTGGCTTTGGCTTCCCTCTCCAGTGAGTCTAGAAACTCATCCCCTGTCCCTGACTCTGCTCTGTCCCCTGCCCATCCTCATCCCCAAGGGCCTTTATCAAGGGCTAAAGACCCCGCGGGTCCCTGCAGCCTTAGCTTGCACTTACGGCTTTGGCTTTGGTTTCTTGCTTTGTTTTTGACATTTAGGGAATTTGTTTCATTTTGTCCATCACTTCCAGGAATTTTAGTAGGAAGGGAGTCTTTCCATATCATATTTGTCCACTATGTTCACTTTCTAATTATGTGTACCAAAAGGAATAGTTTGTTTTTTAACATGCTGGAAGTAAATTTGACTTCATAAAGTAGGATTATGTGAGTTAGTAGAAAGTAAGTTCATCACAACTATTTTATTAAAAGGTTATATTGTGGGTAGGAGAAAATTAATTTTAGAATAAATAACTTTCAACAATGTGATGAAACTACCACCAGGGACATTATGTCCAGACTTGATATCAATGTGATATACATATAGGCTTGTGGTTTCAGAGACGACAAATGTAAAAAAAAAAAAAAATATATATATATATATATATATATATATATATATATATAAAATTTTATATACATATATAAATTATAAGTTGAAAAGCAAGAAAAAGTCTTCATCTTTGTATTATAATTATAAAGTCACTGATATCTTCATTCACCTTTAATGTACTGCTATGGACTGAATTGTGTCCCCCAAAAATCATATGTTGAAGCCCTAACCCAATGTGATGGTATTTGGAGAGAGAGCTTTTGGGAGTAATTAGGCTTAGAAGAGTTCAAGAACATAGGGTCCTCATGGTGGAGTTAGTAGTTTTATAGGTAGAGGAAGAGAGATAGCGCTCTTTCAGGCATTTGAGGACATAGAAAGTGGCTATCTGCACACCAGGCAGAGGGCTCTCACAAGGAACCAAATCAGCCAGTAGAAGTGAACGTCTGTTGTCTAAGCCACCCGATCCATGGTATTTTGTTAACAGCAGCCTGAGCAGACTAATGTATGTACATACTGTCCATCCAGCTATAATTTGATTTCCTTCCATCTGTTTTTCAGGTTTATGCTGTCCTTGCACACTTACCAGATAAGTAATAAATGATAGTTTATGATAACCCAAATTTAGAATATTTAACATGCAGTCAAGTTTCTGAAACTCATTTTCCCCATTTAAAGCTCTCCTGACTCAAATATTCTCCCTCATATTCAGCTATCTGAAGTTTGATTGAGATTAATGCATTCGGGAGCCCACAACACCAGACTTCATGCTGGGGAGTGTCAGATGATCTTACCAGTATGTAACCATGAATACGCAGCATTTCTTGGTCATTGAATGGGTGACATGTGCTTGCTGTGAGATCTCCACAGTGTTCTGCATTCTCTTAACAACTTGGTTTGTAGGAGGATGAAGGAGAAGCATAATGCTCTCTCTTACGAAGTCACCATGAATTCAAATAGTGAAGTCTATTGTATAGAAAGGATATTTCCAAGTTTTCTAATAGCCTTCTAATTACTATGGCCACAAGGAAAGGAGGGATGGAGGGATTGAAGGAGGCTATGAACAAAACCCCAACAGCAACCAGGAGACTTTCTGCCTTTGAAGCCTGTTCCATTACAGCTTCAACCTTACCCATAATTCCAGTTGTCTTTAAAAGAGTCCTTGAAACTTTAAATTGGCTCATTCTTTTCATTTCCATTGGCAAAGCAAGTGGTTTGGGTATTATTATCCCAATGCCATTTAATTTCCTGAAATTATGACAAAGCAAGGCACACTGTATTTGTGCAAATTTCTTTTTAAAATAGTTGTCTGGAGTCTGCCTTTTCCCAGTGGTCCTGAATCACTAGCATGGGCATCTCTTGGGGGCTTCTCCAATGCAGCATGTTGGTCCCCATCCCAAAGCTACCAAATCAGAATCTGCAGTTTATCGAGATCCCCTGCTCACACACATGCACATTCGAGTTTGAGAAGCACTGGTTTAGAGTACTGGGCTCTCTGCCTAATAGAGAATTAGCTCTTTTGACTAATAACACCTTAAGAACAAGATGAAGGTTTTCTCATAAACCTACCTAACGTGGCATTTTGATAGTCTGTGAACAATTAGGAATCAGAGTAGGGTCTCTTTTTCCACATATAAGAAAAACTAATGTTTAAGTCTATAAATGAATCAGAGAAATTGTTCCCATTTTGATTTAGTATGAATGCAGTCTTGCTCACAACTGCTAAATTGGAAGCAAAGAACTGTTTCCTTTCAGGTTAATGGGTTTCCCCTCATCAAGCTGTCCTTCTTTCATGTAATCTAGACTTGCCTCCACTTGTTTATTTTTGTATAACTGTTCTTCTTTTTAATAGGATTATTCATCCTTCCAATATTAACAGCAATTAGACTCACCTCACGGTGCGTCATGCCAACTCAATCTGCGACTGTCAGAGTAGGGTGATCTTAGTCTTGTCTCAGTAACAAACTTTGACAACCAAAACAAAGCGGCAGGCAAAATTCATGACAAGAATGAACAATAAAGGATCACAGATGACACGAACTTCTTGAACATGATGGCTGCCTCTGCCTATTCTATCCACATGGAAATAACAGTGTTCACTGATGACATGGTGACACAGTCCTAAATTGTATTTTTCAGGGAAGTTTTTAGAGAAGACTCTTTAAAAGCCTTAGAAACATTAACATTCTCTTTCCAATTCTAATCTATTTAATTTTATTGGAAAACATTTACATAGCTCATCAGCAGACTCTCTGGTATTGAGTAATATTTAGCATGCTGTAATCATGGGAAGGAGAGATTTAGATTAAATGCTGCTTTTTATTACTATTCAATCATCATAAGTTGTTCCACTTTTTATCTTTTTAGTCAACAGATTTCAAAGGTGGGAAAATATCTTCATTTACAGACATACCTGTATTTATCTCCTATTATATTTTCCATTAGTGTCTACCTGAGATTTATTCCCGGTGATTCCCAACAAAGTATATGTGAATCTCCTAACACCAGATGCTAATAATAAAGACAAATGCACCCTATCTCTTAGAGACGTTATAAGAATAAAGTAGATAATATTTACAGGGGAATTTGACCTCACTAGAGATCGTATATAAATGAAATGTGGGGGGAAAAAAAAGATTTAAAGAACAAAAAATTCCATTCAATTGTAGCCAGATTGACTTGACAGTACCAAATTATGTTCTGAGTAAAGAAAACAGGCCTGCTAATAGTGATTCTACAGCCCGTGGATAAATGCCAAATACTGACAATGAATTCCAGGTCTGGGCTGAAACCTTGGGCATCAGTTTGGCTATGTGCAAAATGAGCTCTTTGTCTTTTTCTATATGTCTACATTTATTATACTTTGAATTACTGGTAAAGCCTTGCGTAGGCTGGAGTAAATTATCAAAGTTATTTTAAACCTTTTTCTACATTTAGTATCATACAAGGATTGTTAATAAAGTAAACAGAAATTTTGCCGTAGGTAACACATATACCTCCGGACAAGCTTTTTTTACTTTTGTACGAGCTAGAACCAGAAAGGAGCTTTGAGCAGGACAATGGACACAGAGGGAACCCTGGTTACGACATATTAAAAGGCAAAGCTGCCCTCACAGGTATGGGGAGACCATCATATTTTTGTAATGGGATGATTTGTGGGACACAGGAAAGTCACCCAAGCCCCCATATTTTCAAACATTCAGGCACACTGCCCCCGATTCTACCATTTAACATTCTTCTGAGTTAAGGGAAGTGGCTGCATATTCATGGAAAAAGGCAAGATTAAAAACTGTAGGATGATGAAGACGTTCACCAAGGAAATGAGCCAACACTTAACTGCATACCTACTATGTGCCAGGCACAATTCTAAGTGCTTTACCAGAGCTGTCACATTCAATTCCCAATTTAACCCTATGAAATAGGTACCATTATTATCCCAATGTTACAGTTGTGGGAAAGGGCACAGAATGGTTAAGAAGCCTGCCCAAGACCTCACAGGCTACAAATGGCCTATTTGGACTCGCACCCTGGCAGTCTGACTCAAGAGTCCGTACTCAGAACCAACATGTTTTCCTGTAAGTGTAGGGCTTAGCACCATACAATATATTACTGCTAAACAATGAAACAAACAGTACTCTGCAACCTTCGATACAACGAAAACTGTGAAAACTGAAACATTTTAGATTGTGTTTGAGCAATTGTATTTTTCTGGACACGCCAAGATTTCAGTATTAGGGCAGCCTCCCCCTTACCATTTCAGAGGACTTGTGAACAGCAAGTGCTCACTGTATAATCTTATTGTGTTGAAATTGTTCACCAAGAACAAATCACTAAGTAACATGCTAAAAAGGATAGCTCTCCTGTGGAGCCAACAGCTGATTTTTGGGTGGAAATGAGAAATGTGACCTGGGAGTGAATTTAGAGATGGAAACCTCAGAAGAGCTTAGATAATACTCATATACTGCGAGTAAGTGACATCTATTACATTATTATAACTTCTGTAATAAGAGGCTACTATGGATCTTACTTAGAATGTAGAATAGATTCTGGATACATACCATGCAAAAAAGGCCTTAAAAATTGTCCTCTAACGGCAATACTGTACATGTTTTTTTGTTTTGTTTTATCCCATAAAACATAGTTTTTAGAAAGAAATGAACTGATAGCCCAGTCTCCCTGCTCCTAACAGAACACTGTAATATGGTTAAGTACAAACCTTTCCATAGCAACAGACATTGTGTACAGACATGAGCCCTATGTCTCTCCCGTGAAGAAAGCTTTAAGGTTATAACAGACAAATTCAAAATAAAGCCTATGATCCCAACACCCTGAAGCCGGCTTTCCCAACGAGCTCAAGAAAGGATACATTGACAAATGACTCACCACGGCTTCCTATGGCTCATTTCTTTGCCTTCTTTTTTCTTCAAATGGCACTTCAGCCTTAATAGTTCCAAAGGTTTCATGAGAGAGGACTAGCGCCACCTGAAAAAGAAAAGCCAAAAATCCAATACAATCATGGTTTGTAGAAGTTCAGCACTGGGCTTATTGAATAGCGTTGGGGGTAGTGTGGTTTCTCCACTTGGAGACCAAACACATTCATTCCTGGCACCTTCACTGTTCTATTTAGTGCTTTTCTGCTCTATGAATATTATGTGGACACTGGCTACCTGGTTAGCTGTAATGCTAAAATAGGCATTTTTACGTAGGGGAAAAGGTAACTTTGGGGACGATAGCTTGAAAGGTTTTCATAAGCACATCTAAAAAACATGATATGAGGCAATTGGAAGTAGTGGCGAGAGCAGGGCAAACTGGGTTTATGCGTATGCAAACTACTATCAGATTCCCCAAACACTTGTGTGTGCAGCGTGGACGCCTCCCTTTGCTCACTCTAATTAGGCAGGAGGCACTGCCTGGGGCCGGAGAGTGATCTACTCACTATTGTCTCAGTGTGGGGAGAAGTGAGCGCTCTGTGCAGCTAACACTGCGCTTTGTTTTTAACATGCGGAACTAGGCTTGCAGACACTATTGATTATGCTTAGGAGAGAGGAAGTTAATGATATGTTGTGAGTACATGTACTATATTTCATCCCTATTCAGGTTTTAAACAGCATCCTCCTCCAAATAGCCTACTCTAAAGGTTGCATGCTGAAAAGGGAAACAGATGGTCCAGTTTTATATTTCTTTTCCTTTAGAATTTCTTATGCAGCTCAGGGACCTTAGTCTTCTGGGATCTCAAATTATATTTCAGCCCATCATACATCTATCAGTGTTGATAATAAGATGGTATGTAAGAATTATTCAAAGTCCACATGGCCGCAGTCTTTGCTGGTTCTTAGTATGCTATGTGCTGTTCGTTTTAATTGAAAATATTCTAAAAGCAAGATTGATGTGTTTTCTATCCCCCTAAAATAGAAACAGGTTCTGGGCTCATAATTGAGCACTCATAAGCCCCTTCTTCTTATTAACATGCCCTCTCTAATTTGTGCCTCTGTTTGCACAATATAAATGGCCTTTAACAGCCCTTCATTCATACAATGGTCTCACTAACCCAAAGAAAATTAGTAGCAGGCAAAAGCCTATTTTTACTGACACAGAGACAAAAATGCTAATTACCTTAAAATATTCTCAAGTGTATATCTTTGGCATCCTTCCAGGCAAGGCTCAAAAGTTGGTGGTTTTTTTTCCTGTTATTTACTATTTATAGGGGAAGTTGTTTTTGTTTTATTTAGGCATATACATAAGTTTATAAGTTCATATTTATAATTTCAAATCTTTTATGTTGAGTCCAGAGTACTGGTAATAGGTGAAGGGTTGGTTTGCTTTCTATTTACTCCGTGGGTACACTTGAGAGCATGGTCCATTTGTGACTAATTATGTTTTTGCTATTTTTGTTAAGGCACTCAGGGACACTTGCAGGAAAAAAGCAATGCCTAAAAATGTAAACTTATTTTATTTAAACATATTAATTACAATAAAACATTAATTTTTTCCCCTTAGAATTCCCTTTTTCTCTGATAATTAAATTTGTTTGTCCAAGTTTATATTCTGAAGCACTCCCTTTCAAAAACGGTTTTAAAACTGAAACCTCTGATGTACAAAATTATAAAGAAACAAAACTCAATGCGAATTACTCAATTATGATGTCAGTTGTGCTGACAATATTTATATAAAGATGAGCATTTTATCATTTATGCAACAAATATTTATTGAGGATGCATTATTTCCAGAGTATTTTGGTAGGCCTGGCTTATAAAAAAATAAATAAGGTAAAAGGGCTCATCTTCTTGAGGGAGTTTAAAAATCAAATTTAGAGAAAGTGTCCACTGATGAATACATGGATAAAGAAAATGTAGTACATACACACACACACACACACACACACACACACACACACACACAATGGAGTATTATTCAGCCATAAAAAGAAGGCAATCTTGCCATTGTGACAACATGGATGGCCCTTGAGGGCATTATGCTAAGTGAAATAAGTCACACAAAGACAAATACTTTAAGATCTCACTAATATGTGGAATCTCCAAAGGAAAAAAAAAGGAGCTCATGGATATAGATACCAGATTCATGGTTGCCAGAGGTGGAGGGGTGTGGGTGGGGTAGGTAAAATGAGTGAAGGGGGTCAAAAAATACAAACTTCCCGTTATAAAATAAATGTCATGGGGCTGTAATGGACAGTGTGGTGGCTATAGTTAATAATACTTTATTACATATTTGAAAGTTGCTAAGAGAATTGATCTTAAAAGTTGTCATCATAAAAAAAAAACTTTGTAACTATGTATAATGATGGATGTTAACTAGACTCATTGTGGTGACCATTTTGCAATATATACAAATACCAATTCACTATGTTGAATATTGGAAGCTAATATGTTGCATGTCAATTATATTAAAAAAATATTATAACTCAATAAAAAAAAATCAAATTTGGAGAAAAAAATGTATTTGCACTAAAAGTTAAGTGACAGTATAGAAGTTTAGAAACAGCAAAAGACAACAGAATATAAGAGGCTACAGAATATAAGAGGTCAGTGTAAGGTGAAGTGATAATTAATGGTCAAAAGACAAGTGGTGTCCAACTTAATAATAAGGCAATCAACCCAGTTTTTAAAAATAGGCAAAAGAAGGGCCGGCTGAGTGGCTCAGTTGGTTAAGAGCTCGCTCAAGAGTTTGAGCTCTGAGCAACAGCGGTTCGAGTCAGCCCNNGGTTCGAGTCAGCCCGAGCTGAGCAGCCACTGAGCTGCCAACAGGTGGCTGGATGGCTCAGTAAAAAAAAAAAAAAAATAGGCAAAAGAGGGATGGCCGGTTAGCTCAGTTGATTAGAGCGCAGTGCTCATAGCACCAAGGTTGCCGGTTCGATCCCCACATGGGCCACTGAGTTGTGCCCCCTCCCATCACACAACTATTGGGTTGTCGGAAAAGTCATGATGCATTTTTGCAACAAAAAACAGAAAAAAATACGTCATGACTTTTCCGACAACCCAATAGATTGAAACAACTACTTGACTTGGAGCTGATGGGTCCTGGAAAAACACGCTTGTTCATCAATAAAATAAAATAAAATAAAATAAAATAAAATAAAATAAAAGTAACATTAAAAAAAAGGCAAAAGATTTGAATAGACATTTCAACAAAGAAGATATACTATTGGCTAACAAGCACATGAAGATGTTCAACATCATTAATCATTAGGGAAATGCAAATCAAACAGCAATGAGATATCTACACACACCCACTAGGATGGCTATAATAAAAAAGACAGACACTATCAAGTGGTGGCGAGGATGTGGAGAAACTGGAACCCCCATACATTACTGATGGAAATATAAAATGATATAGCCACTCTGGATAACAGATTGACATTTTTATAAAAAGTAAAACATAAACTTGCCATGAAACCCAACAATTCATTCCTACGAATCTACATAAGAGAAATGAAAATCTATGTCCAAAGATATATGTATGTAAATGTTCATAGCAGCATTATTCAAAATAGCCCAAAACTCAGTGCAACACACATGTCTGTCAGCTGATGAATGGATAAGCAAAATGTGGTACATTCATAAATGGAATACTACTCAGTAATAAAAAGGAATCAAGTACTGATACATGTTACAACACAGATGAATATAAAAAATACATGCTAGGGCTGGCCACATGGCTCAGTTGGTTAAGAGTGTGAGCTCTGAGAAACAGGGTCGCTGGTTCAATTCCCACATGGGCCAGTGAGCTGTGCCCAAGCTAAGCTGCCACTGAGATGGTGAGAGTGCATGCTTTTAGCAGCAAGGTTGCCGGTTCAACTCCCCGCATGGGATGGTGGGCTGTGCCCACCTGCAACTAAGATCGAAAGCGGTGTCTGAACTTGGAGCTGAGCTTGTGCCCTCCACAGCTAAGATTGAAGGACAACAACTTGACTTGGAACTGACGGGTCCTGGAAAAACACAATGTTCCCCTTCCCCAATTCCCCAACACTGTTCCCCTCCCCAATTGCCCAATAAAAATAAAAAAATTAAAAAAAAAACATATGGTAAATGAAAGAAGCCAGGTGCGAGACCACATTTGCACAACACCATTTATATGAAATGTCCAGAAAAGGCTATTTTACAGAGACAGGAAGCACATCCGTGCTTTCTTGGGGCTGGAGATAAAAGGGACTAACTGTAAATGGGCACGAGGGAACTTTTTGGGGTCATGGAAATGCTCTAAAACTAGATTCTAGTGATGGCTGCACACTGTATACATTTACTAAAAATCAGTAAGATGTATACTTACAATGAGTGGACTTCATGATATGTAAAGTACACCTCAATAAAGCTGTCAAAGAAAAAAAAACAGTGGCACGTATTTTCATAGGAATGGGTCGAAATAGTCACCTGAACTTTTCAACGCTGATATGTAATTCAAACAAGTATCTATATCAACAGATGTGAATAATTCTTCACGGTTTGTAATGTCCCTTACAATTTTCAAATGTATGTGTTCTTCACACCAAGCCTGTGAGATGGGGTGAGCAAGAATGGTGTAATATATAATAAGCACTTTTCTTTTTCCTTTTAGCTTTGTTCTGAGGAAAACGTAAATACTGCATATAGATCATATAATTGAAAAAAATCCATCTTGGATAATGTAGTCTGAATAAACTGGATAACAAGCATGATCATTGCTCCAAGTACCCAGATGCTTTTGCAGACAGGTATCGTCCATTTGTGAAACTACGGTGGACAACAGGTAAACCCACAACTGGAGACTCGCTTCGGGTCGCTGTCGATAGACTTAGCGGAGCGACCTCACCTACAGACTCGCCCCGTCCCCCTGCCTCTCTGAAGCCTGTGGTGGTAGCTCACTGTAATACATGCATTTACGAATACTGAAATGCACATACTTGCATAGACAATGAGGCACTCAGCGACTAACATTATAGGAGTTCATACTCCCCGGCAGAAACAAAGCTGCCCAAAAGCCAAAGATGGAAACTAGCGTATTAATTTAGTGCGTAGCAAACCCTTCTCTAGTATTTCTCTTGAAAGCTCAAAAGGAACTTCAACAATTCCAACTTAGCCTGAAGAGAATGACGTTTAAAGAAATACTCATATGGCTTATATAAGTGTCCAATTATGTAATTTGAAAGTGTATGTGGCATATGCACAAATACACTTAGACTAGTTAAAAACCACACGACCCTCCCGTATTTTGATAATACATACACACAAGACAGGCCAAACTCACGGTCCTTTGCACCCAGCCCGAGATTGAATGCTCTGTGTCTATGAGAAGGGCAGCCTCTGGGAAAATCTCTCCCCTCCTTCTGCTCACAGGGTTAGTATGAAAGGGGCTCTCAGAGTGGAAGAAGACCAGACTTTTCCACACCACAGTTTTAGCCTTCCCATCTCAGCCTCATTGTTGCTAATTTGTCTCCGTATATGCTTATGCGCCCTGCTTCCCAAAGAAGGCATGGATACTCTGTGTACCTTAGTGTTGTCTCCTGTATGGTCTCCGGAAGTCCTGTTGCAGGGCACGGGTGTTGCTTAAGGATGCTTCCATGATCTCTGATCTAACACAAGCTGTGCTTCTTAACCATGACCGAAATGTGAATCAGACTGGGTTAGTCTAAAGAAATGTAGAAATATTCAACCGTTTTCAATTAATTTTGATATTGTCAATTTGTAAGAATTTCATATTAATTTATACAATGCAATACAGAGAATATTGGGAAAAGCACGCGACTCGGGGCGAGAGACTTGTATTCTGGAATGTACCCCTGTAACCCTGGTGAAGTCCCTCAGCTTTCAGGACCTCAGTGGTCTCAACTGAAAAAAAAAATCAGCGTTTTTGGATGAAATCATCTCTAAAGTCCTAATCATAATTTGACAATTATTTCTTGAAATGGTACTGTTATTCTACAAGATAGAAATATGTATCTAAATATTGTGTTTTGGCCTAACATGCCCTCTGGCTTTTTCTATACTGTTAGGATTAAAACAAAACAAAACAAAACAAAACAACAAAAAACTTAGAATTTGAAACTCATAGACACAGAATCCATTTGTGCTATCATAAAACTCAGCAAAAGTTACAGCTTGAGAAGAATGAAGAATGATTTTTTAAAAAGGAACCAGATATTAAATGAATGATATTTCACAAACATACACACAAAGGCATACACATACAGTTGCAAGGAATAGCTTCTGAAATGCTGCCTTTTATTTTCTTTTTAGTATGTCTTACACTACTCCACTGGCTTTCACACTTCCTAGAGCCCCAGTGAACACTCAAAGGTGCTTTTGTGGCCCTTGCGAGGGTTGAAAGAGCGAAATCTGTCCTTCCACTGCCCCCTTAACACCTCTGTTATTATCTGTTTTATTTATTTGGCTTCTATTTAATTATTGTTTGGAAAAGAGTCCTTGGGTAAATGCAGTCTGAAAAGCACTGCACGATATAAAATAAAAGATGTTGCTTAAATACTGCTCTTTAAAAAAAGTATTTTGCTATACATACCACTTCAAATATGTCATCTTACAAGTTGTTCCAGCAAAAACCAAAGGTTAGAAAATAATTTTCCATTTATAGTCTTTCCTAAGGCTATAAATGACAGTGCTATATTTAATTTTAGAGTCCCTGTACAAATCATCAAATACTTTAATAACTATACAAATATTAATATTTGATTCAGGGGATCTCCTAAGTTATGGTATAATCAGAACTCTGGATGGATAGGTTGCTAAATGGGAAAATCCTGTTTGGACAGTGGTAAGAGAAGGGAGACTGTTTAATGAAACAAGTTGGATAGTCTTATCATCATAAAACTGATTGATATTTGGTGCAATTTAATCTTTGCCAGAGAGAATTTTGAGAAAAGGAACAATCAGTAACTTAGATTAATCCTCTATATTTCCTCTTGCGTGCAATTCTTCTAACTCTTATTCTGTGAATGGCCCCTTGCTCTACTGGTTATAACCAATTCTCTTTTGCACCATGATGTAAGGAATTAAAAGTTAGATTTTAATTTTATATTTTGAAGGACAGGGTCAATGTTGATTTGTAAGGGTGTAAGTAAAAGACTACCTCACTTTGAATATCATTGACTTTCGAAATTCACTCAGACAGTATAACAAAAGAGTAAAAACAAAATATAATCTTTGTGTCATTTTCCCCAGGACTTGGAATCTATTTACCATCTAGATAGGTTCTATGTTACCGAGAGGCTTTGTGAAATAAAGGATAAATTATTTCAGCCAAAGGATTTTTCTCATTTCAGTTCCTTAAAAGTCTGTCTTTTCCCTCATAATAATAGATGGATTTAGATTCCTCTGTCAAATGCTTTGGGGACCACTGAGATAAAGTGCTATAAAAATGACCACTATATTAGAATAAAATAGAAAGGGGTCCTTTCCTCTACACAGAACACCCACTAGTAAATAACAGGAGGTGGGAAAGCAGCTGGTGTCACCATGAAGATCACTGGAGAATGTCCTGGAGAGTCACGTGGGATGGAGTCATTTCTCTGCTTTTTCCAAACCCCATGGAGCTGACAGCATGATATCCTCATCGATTTGGGCTTGTGCTCTCTTGAATCTGACTTCCAGTAGGTTTCGCTCACCGTACAAAGCAGAGTGAGAAAGATTCCCTTTATCTTTGATAGGTAGTTCACTTTCTCTTTTTGTTTTCTTCCCGCAAGACAGCCTCTGTTTTTTCCTGAGCTCCACTCGAATGAAAAGGCAGGCATTAATAAAATCAACAAGCTCATTCCAGAGCCCGCTGAGCCTTCTACAGTTCACACTCCCACCTTCTTTTGTTGTTGTTGGGAACCTGATTTGAGTGGGCAGATCTCACAGAACAGGATTTTGGTGTGATTGTGGGGCCATACCAGGAGTTTGAAGCGAAGCCACTGTAAGCTACCTTCCTTCTGTTGCTCTAAGCTCCTTTCCTGTCTCAACCCACTTTCATGTCCCAGGGTCTCTGAGTTCTCCCTGGGGAAAGTCAGCACAACCTGGAAAATTACACCAAATGGCATCTCTGCAGCCGGATTCAAAAGCACGTTCGCTGCTACAGCCGCAGGAGATTTGCAGGTAGACAGGCTCCGAGAACAAACAGGAATTGCTGACTATCCCCAACACTATAATTTTAAAAGGAGTCTTAGAAAGAAACAACTATTTTGCCGGAAATGTAAAAACATTAGCGAGCTAGGACAAAATGATTCCACATACAGATAAGGGAAACCGAGAACAGTGAGAATTAATTGCTTTCTTTGGATCAACTTAGATTTGTGCAGGATGTTCATTTTGACTATATTGTAGCACTTTAATCCTAATGACTATTCCAGTTGGTGGCAGAGCTCTGAAGCATTACCTCTCTTTGACGAGGAGCTAACTGAGCTTCAAAGGAAGATGGGGTGGAGGTAAGGGGGCGGAGGGAGTGGAGAAGCATGGGAAGTCTGCTGCCCAGAATGCCTTTGACTAGCCAGAAATACCAGGCCAGGATGCTCTGTGCACCGAGACTTGCACAACAAAGGCAGGTCGCCACCGCATAGCTCTGGTGGCAAGCTCGCAGGATTGCTCCAGAGACTCTGGCACATGCCGCAGAGGAGAAAGTTCCACAAACAACCCCCAGATCCCTCCACCCAGGTCTCGTTACACCTGGTTTCTCAAGAGTAGATTGCTTAGCCAACCTTAATAATCCCAGAGGAACGCCGGGGCGGGAGGCTTGATTCCAACTACCTTCGCCCTAATTTATTGAGAGCTTTAAAAGTAGAAAATAAAACTTTGAACTCAACGCATCTGAAGCTTTATGATTCAGGTGTGCTACATGCCTTCAGGGGCACCAAAGATCACTGAAGTTAATGTGACAAAAAAAAAAAAAATCCTGTGCACTGCAGAACAGAAAAGCGTGTCCAGACCCGACCCAGCTGGTTCTCCAACCACGTTAACTTGGCAGGAGAAGCACAAGTCCTGGCCCTGCCCTCGTCCTTTTCTGATGGGTAGGATTTCCCCTCCTTACAGCCCCTTAATCCTCCCTCCTCTCCAGCCTTCCAGAGTTTAGAAGAAAGTGACCTTGTGCAGAACAGAGCAGAAAGAAGAGGGAGAGAATACTAGGAGGAAATGAAAACGGCTCATGAGAAACGGTTGCAGAGAAAAATACAGTCCTCCCTCCATATCCTTGGGGAATCGGTTCCAGGCCCCCTGGATAGAGAAATGTGAGGATGTTAAGTCCCTTATATAAGATGGTATATTATTTGCACATAACCTATGCACATCTTCCGGATACTTTAAGTCCTCTCTAGGTTACTTATAATAATACCTAATACAATGTAAATGCTATGTAAATAGCTGTTATGTTGTATTGTTTAGGGAATAATGACAAGACAAAAAAAGTCTGTACAAGTTCAGTACAGACAAAACCATCGGAGGCCTAACTACACCACAGCAACAGCAAAACATTTTTCCCCCAAAATACTTTCAATGGCAGGTTGGTTGAATCCTCCAATGCGGCAGTCTCAAATATGGAGGTCTGGAGGGCCAACTGACTGTATTAGGTCAATGGCAAAGTCACTTCTAATTTATATAGTATTGAAACTTGGAGTAGCTAGGTGGGCAACAGCTAGTCTGTATGACTTTATCCAAACAGCACGGCCTGCTAAGCCCTTTTTCTTACTAGGCAGATATTAATAGCAACCCCGTTCAGCTGTGTGAGAATGCAATGAGTTCATTTTTTGCGGAAGTGCCCAGCATGATGCCCTGTCCTAGTAGGTGATGAATTCAATTCTGAAACTAAGAACCCTGTTATTTAAGAGAGCGCAATTTAGTGATATTTCACATTTGATGTAGGCCTTTTAGTTAGTTACCTGAAACACCAGGCCCAAAAGGAAAAAGCGGTTTTTGGCCTAGCCAAAGGGGAGATGGACATCTCTCCCTTGCCCTGGGAAGTCGAAGCTTCCAGGCTTTCGCAGAGACCCACCTTTCTCATCTCCCTAGGGAAGGCTTGGAGCAAGGGCTGCCTTCCTGTATTTCCTTCCAGGCTGCAAGAGGCTACTGAGCCCTTTCCTTCGGAAGAAGGGGCAACTATTAGCAACTCCTACCACTTCACAACTCCTACCACCTCGAGTGTGTGTGTGTGTGTGTGTGTGTTAGAATGTGTGTGTCTTGTGTGAATTAGTGTGTAGTGAGTGTGACTCTGTGTGTGTGTGTGTGTGTGTGTGTGTGTGTGTTGGGGGTGGGCAGGGTTGGGGCTGGGAAATTACCTAATTCCTTAGAGGTCCTTATTAGCAATGCAGATATAGTCAGTGCACAGTATGGAGGCCCTGGGACGTGCCGGTAAGATGCGGGTGTTTTCACAGACAAGTCTTGAGTATCGCCCGGCCCTGCTCCGCCAAATCCTCTGGTAGGCCGACAGAACTGGTTTCACTCCTCCCAAGCCCCTCCCGGGCCTGGAGAGCGGTTACGTGGGGGAGGGCCGAGGTGCAGGCTCAGGGGAGGGGCCTGCCCAGGCCAGCGGCGCAGCCCCGCCCAGCCCTCTCGCGTCCTGCCCCGCCCCTCGCAG